ATCGACAATTTTTTTCGGCTGCACTATAATCCTATGTACACTAATGTCAAAAATAGTGTGACGTGATGGTAAACAGATGACAGACCAAAAAATACACCAGATGGTAACAATGTACTGTAGTCAATTCAGCTATGCTTGTTGAACACTTGGTCATAGATGTGAGAGAGTGTGTAGCCCCCCTCATCTCTATTAAGTACTGGCCCGCTGTGGTCTACCCAGATTGATTCCTTAACCAACTGTCTGACATTCAAGTGCCCAAAGCTAACATCTTATTCATAGGATTGATTTCCCAATTTCAATCACTGACACAATTATAACATGATATACAAACCTTAGTTCATCATAAACAAATGAAATCACAGACAAATCTGCTTGACATATATTTCTATCAACATCCCCATATTGCTGACTGCAGAACTTCATAAAATGGCCCCATTAAAATGTTTAGATCTAGGTCGGTGTTTCAGCACATGTACCACAACAGATAAAATTGTAAATCCCTACGCTACTTTTGGAAAGATGCTGAAAATATTGACAATAACATGCTAAACATCTACTTCATTAAATTACAAAATAAACAAAAGGAAAACTGCCAAAGTCCTAATCACTTAGACTGATGGCTTCAAATGGCCGCCATTTTGATTATGAGAGTCATGTGACTATACCTGAAAAGTGATTTAGTCATGTGATACATGTTGTAAAGCATTAAACACTGCCCTATAGCAGTCCTGTCAATTTACCCTGAAAACAACTCACTTCATTCTTCCAACATAAAAGCATGTGGAATGGTCACATTTGTTTCTTTTGTCTACGTACTGGCCTGTACTCCATTATTTGAATTCAGTATGGACACAACATGTATCACACGACTAAATCACTTTTCAGGTATAGTCACATGATTTTCATAATCAAAACGGCGGCCATTTGAAGCCATCAGTTGCAGATATGGGAATTTTCCAATCATCTTGATTAAAATGTCTACACCTTTACAAAGGGTACATAGAATAGAGCTTTTGTCTCAACATTCACAAAATAATGTATTATGAATATGTCTGCAAAGATGAGTTTGCGAAGCAAAGTATATACAAAATTTAAGCGATTAAATGTATATCTCTATAATCTATATATAGAGGTTTTCAGGACCTAGCAGTCCGGGATTCGATTCCCAGAACGGATGTGAAAAGGTATGGGGTCACCTACCCGACCACATGGGTTTCTCTAGATACTCCATTTTCCTCCCACAACATGACACCTCGTTCACTCCGGGCCAACAAGAGTAATTAGTATAAGTTGAAATAACTTGTATTGCAATTGTTGTAAAATGAAGTTTATTTATTTATATCTGTGTGTCGGGAAATTTTGATAAGAAAGAGAGTATTCAGTATATACTTATATACAGTACACTTAATTGATGGTCAGTGCTTCATCATTGTTTATCTGACGACACACGCCTCAGTGATTTCAGAATTAGACATGATCAGGTGATGATCCCCAGTACATATCTATACATCTCTAACCCTTTTGTTGAAAGATTTGTTAGATTAACAAAATCATACTATGAAATTACATCAAGATTTTTAAACCATTTTGGAAACTTATTCATTTACATATATTCGAATAATTCTTTTTCAAATTATGTCATTTGAGTTATTCATAGCATTACTCCGTAAAAATTTTCTTTTGAAGATTTTCAACCGAGAAGAAAGATTTGCTATTACTCACATTAAGTTAACAACAAGGCTGTAAACAAGTGAACCCAGATCTGTCATGCGGATTTATTGATCACAAGCCTGGGGAATGTTACAGATATATAACAATTCTATGTCTGGTCCATTACACAAATCACAGGGTCATGAACACTCTCCTATTTATTGTGATAACAACTGTTTATAGCTAAAATTTACCTTCTCATAAAGATGTATCATGACCCACCTACTTTGTGCTATATACACAAGCATAATGGTTTAAGTGACTATAACCCAATGTGACAGTTTTGCTGACTATAACCCAATGTGACAGTTTTGGTGACTATTACACAATGTGACAGTTTTGGTGACTATAACCCAATGTGAGAGTTTTGGTGACTATTTACCTCCAAGAGTGATGGATTAAGTGACTATTTCCCCGGTGATAGTTTTAGTCCCTATTTCCTAATGTGACAGACTATTTCCCTGGATGAAATGACTTGACAGTTTTTTTTGTATAAAGTGATATTTGTGGTTCTCTGGATGAGGATATACATATATGTGATTCAGGAAGTCTCAAATACAGAAAAATAAACACAAAATCAATGAAAACCAAAATCATTTTCTCAAACCTGAGATTTCTTTTTCTCAAATAATCTAAAAAATGCTGGAATAAGCTTCAACCATGTATCTGGTATCATAACACACTGTTACATCCTGTTCATTTAAGGGACATGACCTTTGACCCTTAATTCCTGTATTCCACAGTTCAATTCCTTTTGTACTATTTATAATCCCTGGTCCTTGAAAAGGAGCAATGGTGACTCCCTAAGGGCATTCATAAATCTCTGATTAAGGTATAAGTTTGAGTTTTTAATCAAACAAAAGTTAACAGAAGCTTGTACACCCCAAGTTAAGATAAACACTGGGTACATTTTCTGATTTAGTAGTTTAATTTCCTGTTGTTAAACACAATAACACTGATTTGCACCACTGATTTACAACTAAGTAATTCAGCACAAAGGAACTTCAATCCTAAATAAAATTGCATTTTTTGGCATATGGCAATGATCTCATTCTGAATTCTGCAAAGGGATTGGGCCCTATTTTTTAAAACTTCTATCAAGCCTTTTCTACAAAACATTCACACTACGTAAGTCTTTTAAAAGACGGCATGGCTCAGTACAAAAGCGTGTGAGAGGGAGGGAAAGTGAGAAACAGGGAAAAAAAAAGACTGGGAAAGAAAGGGACAGAAATTAAAGAGAGAGAGAGGGAGAATGAGGGAAAGAAATAAAGAGAGAGAGAGATATTAATTACAGTTTATCTAAACTGAAAATAACCACACCACATCCCGATGGTAACCTTGGGTTAAATTCCCATGAATATCACTCTGGGTTTCATTCTCTATACACATACAAAGGACACAAATACAATCATGAACTGACCTTTCCTCTCTATAAAGTATAATCTTCAACAAAACAGTCATCAAATCTAATAGCACAATTCTCGGCCAAAGTTTCAGAATCTGACTACAAAACATTCTTTTAACCATTCATGAAGATAATATCTTACTGGGTCACAAGGCCTATTTATAGTGTAGATATTGAGAAATGTCCCTCTGCACGCATAGTTATATAAATTTTACCTGGTGTGGTAGATAACTTGAATTGCTATTAATTACAAACTGATAGAGTGAAACTTGCCTTGAAGGCCAATGCTTTATAAGAAATACCTTTCTATAAAGGCAAACCCTATATAAGAAATACCTGTCTATAGAGGTCAGCAATATATAAGAAATACCTGTCTATAAAGGTCAGCAATATATATAAGAAATACCTGTCTATAAAGGTCACATCGATATAAGAAATACCTGACTATAAAGGTCAGCAATTTATATAAGAAATACCTGTCTATAAAGGTCACATCGATATAAGAAATACCTGCCTACAAAGATCACCCCTATATAACTACTTGTCTTTGAAGGTCATCTCTGTATAACGTATACCTGTCTATAAGGTCTATGGGTTCCTATGTATGATACCATTCCTAGTAAAGGACCTCTATATGAAGACCACCTGTGTATAAAGGCCACTATGCAGTGACCTTTATAGACAGGCTTTAATGTATTACAAACATTAAAGGTTGCTGCGTACCTCGCAGTAAAATAAAAGGCAGTGATTCTTTGACAATTCTTAAAGAAAAACAAGATGCCAGGATGACCGTTTTGTGACTATTTTTCATTCTTTAACATTTTCTGCAAATTTCTTAAGTAAAACTGCAATAAATTATTCATTTCAGTCAATATAACTTTGTAATGATTCTACCAGCTTTTATGCCTCCCCCAACATTTCCAGAATTACTCTGAAAAAATTTCCACATGATCCTGTAAACATTCTCCTGAATTTACAAAGGAATAAAACAGTCACTTACTTTAGACTCTGTAACATCTGCGTGAAATGCTGCTGACTCTAGTCCTCCAACTCTGTGGTCTTGTTCCAGAACGTGATGGTGTTGTTTGCTTTTGCTAAGTGTGGCCATCATATAAAACTTTATGGCACTCAAACCATAGCCAGAAGTTAGTGACAATCCCAATCTGTTTACTGTTTTACTGATATGTAGTATCCTGTTATTCACATGATTAAGCTGAAATGTGATATGTTGTCCAGCAGCTTTCCATGACGAAGACAGGAGTTATTTCCCCTTCATTCCATCCGACATTTCATATCCTTTTGATATTTTTTTGTGTAATCTACCAGCAAATGCGGTCAATGTTAATCCAAAATATTCCATGCATCTGTGATGAAATTGTCCATGACAATGTTCTTTCTAGAGAAAATAGTTGTCAGCAAAATGACCGATAAGCTGGTCATCGTCTGTTTCTTGTTTACTAATAAGTTAACATGGTTTTAGAGCAGGGGTGATATTCTACGAATATATATTTTATTTTCTTTATTTTTTTTTTTATTTTATTTCTTCATTTATTTATACTTATTTTAATTTTGAAACAGTAATAAAAATTATTCTGTAAAGTTTATTTTGTAAAGAGAGAAAATCCTCTCAATCAACTTAAAAATTCAGTTGACATATCGTGACAGCATTATTTTTATGCACACTTGAAAATGAAACTTGAATGTAAAGTTGATGGAAGAATGTAAGAGAAGTTACAGATAAATTTAAAATGAAGGGAGACAACTCTTCATAAACAAATTTAAAGCAAAGAAACAATTAAATATTTGGAGAGAAATCACATTATTATTTTAAAATGTCCAAAAACTCTATATCAAATATCTGAAAGTAAAGGTAGATAACTCTGACCTGTTAAGCTCCTTCTGTGTTCTGTATGCCATGGCCAGTTCGTTGTCCTCATTAACAATAGTGTCGATACCGCCATATGATTGCTTGGCAATCTCATGTGTAGTGATACTTCGTTCAGCCATCATGGCACGTAACTGGAGACATTCTTCTCGGCGACGTTCCAACTCATCTGTCATTGCCTCAAATTGTTCTGTGGGGTTACATCAAATGTTAATAAGAAACAGTGATAAATTAAGTATTTAAGGCTATTTTTCGATTGAGTAAGTGTTTACAATTTTATCATTTTTTGTTACTGTACCACATAAAAAAAATTTTTTTTATTTCGTTTTCCTCAATTTTTTACCCTTTCTCGACGAATTTTTGAATTTAATTGTTTACTTTTCTCCTCAGAAGATGTAGATATGTCTGATATATATTCAAATCTAAGTTACACAGTCATAAAATTAATTCAGCAAAAGCAACTATCAATACCTGTAGTTACTGAGCCAACTTTGACGTGCGAAACAGTTTTGTCACAACACTTATTACAGATTATATTGATATTAGAGAACAATACAGTGGCCAAGCTGAACAACATCTGTACACACCACATCACGGTTATTTTAGGAAAGATTCTCAATTACCAATACCAAAAGTAATAAAACAATAGTGAAGGTTCGTATATATTTTCATACTGTATTCAACCTTATGGGAGTGATGTCCCTTCAAGTTTCACCCATCAACTCAAAAAAATTTAAAGAAAAGAGGAAGCTTACTGAATCTGCCAATACAACGGTCAGCCTTTTAAAACATTTGCTTCCAACATAAGGCATCAAATATTAATTAAATAATAAAAGCAAGATTAGATTACCATGCCAAGAATATATAGTAAATACAAATTAGAGTATGAGTACATGTATAATGGTAGCAGATTGGTTGCTAGGTTACAGGTTTTTGTATGTAAATAGTACACCATTTTTTTTGTAGTAAAACTAATGCGGTGCTACAATTTCATGAGATAGAGTTGTTTGGTTGGTTTATCACCACATGAACAGCCAGGGTCATTCTAAGGTGGGGTTTCCATGTAGTAAATGGTGGTTACCTCACAGAACACCATATGGAAGGCCAATCACATGACATCCAAAGCAATTACTTAAGGTACAGTGTTTTTTCTTCCTCATCCGTGACAATACGGACATGTTATGTGATAGCAAAGTGTATACATCTCCAATCATTATGTGAGATTGCAAAATTTGATACTGGAACTATAACCCAACCTTACCTTGTAATACTTTGATTCTGTCAGTATTTAAATCTTGTGCTAATGTTACATCAACACAAAGTCACAGCAACCACACGGGGTAAGATCAGCCACCATGACCATATTTTGAGGTCAATGTTCACAACAAGAACAAAGGTCACATCACAACCACAGTTCAGAGTTCACAGAAGTGACAGCAATATTAGCATGCAGTTAGTAGTTGGAAAGAACAGAAGACACAGACAGCAATAGATATGAAAAGAAAAGAAAATACTACAGTATTATTAGCAAATACATACTATATATAGTTATCTCCCCTTGACAATACTCATGACACCATTAAATATATTGGAATGACTACACTAAGCTCAGTTATCTCCCTTAATATAATACTTATATAATACTATCATCAGCAAATATATACTACATATAGAAGAATTATCTCCCCTTGGCAGTATTTCAGTATCATTAAAATGTATCAGAAAGACATCACTAAGCAGAGTTATCTCCCTTAAATAACACTCACTTTTAGAAGCAAATCCATACTATGTATAATCTTAATTTAGTTATCTCCCCTTGTTTATACGTCACTAACATTAGCAGCAGGAATGACACCACAAAGCAGATTTATCTCCCCTGAATAAAAATTCAGTAAAGTCCAACCAGAATGACATGACATGTTAACGTTTTCTTAATATACCGATCTCATACAGATGGCGAATATATGTAAACCTTTTTATATGGCATCTAAGGCCTTATACTGGATATCTGACAAATATCTATTGAGTACAAAATTCAATTTGTCAGGAAATTCTGGTCAAACTCTAATATTAGCAAATATAGCTTAATCATAATAACAAAAATCAGAGTTATCTCCCTTAAAGTATAGCACAGCATTATTATTGGAATTTAGTGTATATAATCACCGAACAGTTAACTTTCCTTGTTTCTGATAGATGTAACAAGTGAGTTTGTTGTTAAATTGAGATTACATTCAAATTTTTCTTCCATAATCTGAATATTTTCATCAAATATTATTTAATATGTTTTCCATCTAAAGGAAGATAACTCTTCTTATTACTTACAAAAAAGATAAGGAATTAATATAAATAATAAATTATTAAAAAGGGCAGGAAAAAAAGCAGCATTATTACATCAGCATGCATATTTACAGTGAGAAATATTGATGAAAAACACATTTTGTAATCATTTTCTTACCCAAAAACTCTTTACCAGCAGGTGTTAGCTGTACGTTTTGATCAAAGTTTGTTGTTTCTGTGATGGATGCGACAAGCTTGGCTACTTCACGCTTTAATTTATCATTTTCATTTTCCAGTTCTTGCATCTGCCAAATAAAAAACGTAAAAATCATCCATTGACATAAAAATATTCCACAATATAACTCAGTTTCATTGCTTACATGTCTACACCATAAAATGTAACAAGATATTTTCACTTAATAACAATTTGCTCCCAATTGGAGCAAACTGTTGCCTGTGGTGAACACAAATATAGTTTTCATTATATTTATATTAGTTAATTTAATGCCAGGATATTTCTAGTACAGTCAGGTAAAGTTTTCTTCATCAAGTCTATACCAAGAGGTCAAAAAGGTCACTTTCAATATAGAAATGAATCTTAATACAGTACACTGAATGACAATGTGAAGTTAAAAAAGGCTGAATCATGCATTAAATTTGGCATCCTGTCATCCTTTGGCAAGTAGATATTTCTTAATGTTAGCACATATATACATTACACAAGATTTAGAATAAAAATTTGTCATCAATTAACAGATTTTCTCGTTCAAGAATAGTTACATTAGAACACATCTATGGATCAATACACAGAACTAAGAATTAGTACAATTATGACTCACTACAATGTTTTTAGCATAAAACAGACACTATAAAAATAGTTAAGCATGTTAGAAGTATGTTGTTTACTACATAAGCATGCATTTGAGATGATAAATATTCTGTGTTGTATACCTGTGTAAAAAATTGTTTACTCCAAATATAATATTGTATTAATGCCATACTTGATCTGCGAGATGCCTAGGGGTGACCTGAACTCACATCAATGTCAGGGGATGGGCTTAATACTGAAGAATGAGTTGGTTGGACAAGTGGGCTTATTAAAGAACAATGAACAGTATCGTTAGACAGGTGGGCTTATTACGGAACAATGAACAGTTTGGTTAGACAGGTGGGCTTATTACGGAACAATGAACAGTATCGTTAGACAGGTGGGCTTATTACGGAACAATGAACAGTATAGTTAGACAGGTGGGCTTATTACGGAACAATGAACAGTTTGGTTAGACAGGTGGGCTTATTACGGAACAAGGAACAGTATCGTTAGACAGGTGGGCTTATTACGGAACAATGAACAGTATCGTTAGACAGGTGGGCTTATTACAGAACAATGAACAGTTTGGTTAGACATGTGGGCTTATTACGGAACAATGAACAGTATCGTTAGACAGGTGGGCTTATTACGGAACAATGAACAGTATCGTTAGACAGGTGGGCTTATTATAACACAATGAACAGTATCATTAGACAGGTGGGCTTATTACAGAACAATGAACAGTATCATTAGAAAGGTGGGCTTATAAGAGAACAATCAATAGTATCTGTTGGAGATGTGGGCTTATTTTAGGATATATACGGTAAAAAGTTTTTACACACAATACATCCACCAACCGTTCATTAAAACATCAAACTGTAATGATACTATAACTTAGTGGATATTGTATCTTCATGCTTTTCACACTAGAGATAATTCACTAAAATATTTCACTAATTGCATGTTGTTAATATATCATATTGTGAATAAGTTAATTCATCATTTACACTTAATGGTTCAAATGTAAAAATGCCCTAAAATTTGATAGCGCAAAACAAGAACACTACAATGATCAGAAATTGACTGAAATTCAATTCAGATAAAAATAAACCTTGGTACATCATTTTGTTTAGAGTATACATTTTCAAAGAGTTAGCATAGATATCAACTTTATATATTAAGCTTGAGTGAGCATCTTCTTAAAATTTGTTACAATTTAATGCACTTTACAAAAAAAATTTCGTAACTTAATCATTATGTTACTTGTTCTTCATTAAGGAATCTACCAGCGACTGAATATTAATGTTTCTTATTCAAACTTTAATTTTTCAGTCAATAGATATATTCTGAAGATGAATTTTAAAATAAGGAATGCAGTACTTGTTTTGTTTGGTTATACAGTCAAACCTGTCTTAAAGGTCACCTTTGATACAAAGACCACCTGTCTATAAAGGCCACTTTTTTTTGGTTGTCTTCATAATGTAATTCATAAAGATTGAACCTCTGTATAGAGGTCATCTGAGTATAAAAGTCACATTTTTAATATTCCTGGTGTAAAGCAATTCATAGAAATTGAACCTCTATATAGTGGCCACCTGTGTATTAAGGTCACTCTCTTCTGCTCTCTTGAGTGACCTTTATAGACAGGTTTGACTGTATACATACTGTATAGTTGGTTAATTTTGTGAGGTAATATTTTCCCATGTTCCAAATTTAGCTAGTTCACAGATATTAAATTTTGTGCAAGTCAATGAAATATGCTCATGTATACAAGAAAATATGATGTTGCTTGACAATTTTCATTCACTATAGAAATTATCACTGAATATATACTTTCATTTTGTCTTTATCTACCACTGATATTGGGAAATTAAATCCTTAATTACTATACCAACTATACAGTAAAATAATTACCAGAACAATAGATCTTATTTGTTTATTTTTTAACTTGCACCAACAAGCTAGAAAAACAACCACACCTCCACAAACCAGACACACCTTCATGTTAAGATAGAGTACAAAAAACATCAATATTGATAAAATTTAAATATTACTGTATAGTGTAGAATTTTGCTGGGCTAATACTTTGAACTGGTCTCACTTAGCTCACATGCATAAAATTTTGCAAAACATTGTCTTGTAAAATTCCAGCAGTATATCTGTGATCCTGTTTGATTAATATCATATTATATTATAAATACCAGCTGAAATTCAGTTCAGCCAATTCTTAATGACAGCAAATATAACAACATTATATCCTTACAAACAAATGTCTTTTTTTTTCCTTTGACAGTTCAAAATTTTTGTGATTTTAGGAAAAGCTTGAAGCCAAAAAGATATATTTTTCAAAGAAATTATGAAACACTATGAATTTCTCCATTTGTTTGTTTTTCAACGAATCTATCTGTGGGAGATTTTCTTCCACTTTTGTAAAATAGCAAAAAAAATTTTCTCATAAAAAATCAGAACATTTACTTCATTAATAACTAACTAACTTGTAGATAACAAAGATCATTAAACATCCACCGACTAGCTACTGGCGTATATAGCAGACAAGCTTCCCTGCGACCAAGAATACCATCAGATGGTAAGGCAAAGTATTACAAAGTTAAAGATTTCCGTATTCATCCACAAATAAGTCCTTTCTACATTTTTAAAGAGTCATCGATTTTAAAATTAGGAAGTTAAAATTGTTAAAAAATAAGCCTTTCGAAACTTAAATACGGAACTTTTACAGTATGGGAGGGGACTTATTTCAGGATAAAATACAGTAGAAGTACAGACACATATATTTAGAGAGTAAAATGAAAAGATTAGTCAAATTCCACCACTAACTACAGTTTTATATAGCACACAAGCTTCCCTGTAACCAAGAATACCTTCAGGTTATTATAGGCATATTCGGGAGTCATAATTTTGAATCCCATATTCTCATCCTCTTCCTCGCGTTCATCTAATTCATCAACAAGCTTAGATTTTGCTGTTTCTAATTCCCTGATTCGTTTTTGTAATTTTATGACAATTTCTACGTCTTCAGCATTCACCAGCTGTTTCTGTTGACAGAGTCAATTGGTTAAGGTTACACAAAGGTCAAAGTTGATTTATACCTTAAATGGAGATCATTATTCAACATTACATGATTTCTCTACACAACAGGAAGAAATTACTAAAACAAAATAAAATTTATTTCATACAACTCTATTTACTGAAACTACAACTAGTAAATAATGAAGATGACAACAAACAACACTAATGTGACATTAAGTGTCCTTTGACCTTCACCTTAGAATGTTGAAACTGACCTTGAGAGCATCAAATGCAGAATCAGAGATAACAGCTGAGGATCGATGCATGGGACTTCCTCCATCTTCAAAATTGTCCACTTTCTTCTGTAGGGAATCTTTATCTTTTTCAAGTTCCTTTATACGGCTCTGCAACTTCAGGACAAGTCCAATGTCCATATCCTGTCATGATAAAAAAGACATTGACAAGGTTCATAAAACATCATGTGAACCTCACTTTCAGTCATTAATTATCTCTATCAAACCTCATACTGACCTCAGAGTTAGTTATGAATTGGGTTATTGTTGCTTTAGGTCCTATTAATAGCCAGGGTCATTTACGGATGTGCCAGGTTTGGATGGTGGAGGAAAGCTGGAGTTCCCGGAATAAAACCGGGTGGTCGGGTGGCACATTGGTAACACACTCACCTTTCACCTAGCCGTCCGGGGTTCGATTCCCGTAACGGACGTGGAAAGGTGAGGGTCACCTGCCTGACCACGTGGGTTTTCCCCAGGTACTCCGGTTTCCTCCCACAATAAGACCCCTCAAGCACTTACATCCGGGCCAACAAGAGTGATAAGTATAAGTTGACATAACTTGTGTCACAATTTTTGTAAAATAAATAAAGTTTACATTATATATAAAACCACTGACCTGTGGCCAGTACCTGGCAACTGCCCTATGTATTCCTTGAATCAACAAACCCTTGAGGTGGAGGGCTTGTGATACAGACGGTCAGACATCTTAACCACTCAGACCCTTTATACATTGGCTCTATGATGAAACTTTTATGCACCTCAAGATTAATTAGTATGTTTATCAAATCTCGGGATGACCTCAGGGTATCATTTGGGTCGATGAAAACCTATACACACCTCATAACAAGTAAGTAAGTGTTTGTATCAACATTTAGTAACCTTTCAGTACAATTTAGAGAATTTGAAGAAATTGAAATATTTAACATTGGATTAGGACCTACTGTAGTCAGATCTCAGAAAGGTTTCTCTATTCTGTAATAACATTATATCATTGATGAATATCAAATCTTTTGTACTTCTATATAATGAAATTTAATACAATTAATGGCTGATTACGAGGTTCATATGAAGTTTGACAACCATGTTTTGGATCACCAACACATAATTTACTACGAGAACGATTTACAGAAACTTGGTTATCCGTTAAATGTGTAATGTACCTTGTCAACATGAGTTCCATTGGCAACTGTATCCACACTGATGGTGGGTGGGGCGGGGGCGGGTCCCTTCTTTTTCTTCTTCTCTGTAGTTTCATAACCTTGATCCTACAAATTATCAGCAAAGTTATCCATTTTGTTTCTTCTTCCATCAATTTCAAACTAAAATTAGTCTTTCGGAATAAATTTTCTTTAAAAAGGTTGAAGTACTTTAAGATGAAAATCAATACCTGGAATAACAATCCTGATTGTATTAGTTTTACTGAAAACTTGAAACTAAAAGCATTTTTCACAGAAGTTATTAAACAAACTGTGGTATTTTTGATCAGTTGTATTTTCAAGCTATGTCATTTTCACTCTAAAATACTTTTAAAAAGCAAGATTTACAGAATTTTTCTTTGTTTTGGACAACAAATATTTGTTGCACATCTGACAATGAGTACATACTGATTCCTTCTCAAAATCCTCGGGCGAGATAGAACTCGCGTACGACTCTAGACTGATAGCAGAGATGTCTGAGGGTGTTCGCTTGTGTCCCTGTGGACTTGTCAAGACCTGCATTTCGCCCTGAAGGTTTTCTAGACGTTGTTGAAGACGAGCATAGTCTTTGACCAGACGTTGATGATGAGCACGTTCCGACTCAAATTCTGCCAGCATGATTTTATTAGCAGTATCTAACTGCTCTTTACTGGTATCTGAAGGAAATAAACACAAATATAGATAATGTCAAATTCGGACAAAGTTATGAGTTATCTCCCCTCCTCTAATATCTAATAAAGTTTATATGTATCATAGATTTAACTGATAAACTACAAAAATAACTTAATGAAAAAGAAGATAAAATGTGTTGTTTTCAATGTAAATAACATCCACAGCAAATTAACAAATTATTCTATAAATAGGTCCATCTTTAAGATCAAATGTGGTCCTTCTTTTAGGCTACAGTAACGACTTCAATGCAAACTCTGATGTTTGAACTTTACCTTAAACCCTTTCTCCTCACAAAAGATTACAATGCAAAACAGTAAAACAAAACAAAACAAAAGAAAACGAAAAAAAAAAAAAGCCATATCTCTTCAATCAACTTCTAATAAAAGGGAAACTGGTGGTGAATTCATAACCATGTTAAAATTATCATTGACATTTAACAATATGAATGATAAAAATTTGTATTAACGTACCTGCTGACTGTTTCTCTTGGTCCCGCAGTTTCTCATTCGCCTTGTTTAATTGTTCCTTGATGGAAACATTTTCATCCATCAACATCTTTGAGGACTGGAAACAAAGAATTACAAAGTACCGTTGTAGAAACTTATCATCTCAGTTTTGGCGAAAGTCAATCCTTAAAATCATTACCCTGTTCTTTCACGGACATTGACAAAAGTACATCAGTTTCATTTAAGAGTTCTGATTTTTGTAGATTTCAAAATATCTCATGAAAATTTAAGGAAGACATAAAAGAATTTGCAATTCAGTCTTAAATTTAAGTGTTTTTCAAGGTGTTGGTGCCACACTCCAAGCCTTCCAGGCATCACACTGTCAAGCTTTTTCAGGAAAGGCTGAAATTCAATGATTTTTTTATATCTATATGAACCAGGTCCAAGTTTCAAAAATCTTCCGTAATCTAAGGAAACCTTGACTACCATAGAAAGCATTACAAAAGTTCAAGAAAAACTTTGTCTATAAAATGGCACAAACACACTAAAGACCAATTGCTTTCCCATCATATATACCTCCTTTATATTGGCAGAATCAATTCAGCATCTTTTCGTGTAAATAATCGCTGTAAATAATTGCTGGAAATAATCACTGACTATCTCAGTACACTGACTATCTCAGTACACTGCCTACCTCTATACACTGCCTACCTCTGTATGCTTTTTATGCATGAGTTCCTTCTCTGATACAAGGTCTTGTTTCTCGCCCTTCTCTCTTGCCAATTCTTCCTTCAATTCTTCTATCTGCTTCAGTAGTTCGGTGATGCGGTTGGTTGACTTTTCGGCCATGCTGCTGTTCTGACGAAGCTTTTCCATCTCCGTCTTCATGTTTGCGATCTCCACTTCCTTGACCTTCACCTGTTGCACTTCTTTGTTCTGCGGAGAAAAAAAATGACAATATTACCACAACATTTTTTTACTAGCGTCTATGTCTTCTTCAATAAGCACAGGGGGCCAACACATAAATTCTGACACAAAGTCGAGGTGGGGAGGGTGAGAGGATGGAGGTGAGGGGGAGGGGTGGGAGGAGGGGCCTTATCACCAGGCAGGGTCTCCTTTTATGGCACAAATATGTAAATTCTACAAAGAAAACTCCTTTCATTCATCATAAGTTTTCATTTTTGTGAGCCTTGGTGAAAGGAAACATTTCAAGGTGAGTGAAAAAATTTTATACAAAAAGAAAGAAATCTAAGAAAGGTTACATTTTAAGGGATTATAAAGTAAGAAAAGATTAATACAAAAATGAATGGAGTTTCTGCTAAATCTGTCCATCAGAATACAATTTAAATTTTCAAATCATGACAAACTTCAGCCTGTACTAGAATTTAATGATCAGAAAAGTTTTGATGTATGGAGTACTTGATTTTACCCTGTTGTCTAGTTTCTGCTGCAGCTCAATGATCTTGTTCTCCAGTCCTTTGTTAACTCCCTTGATGTGCTCCACCGACTTAGCCTCGATCTGAAAAAAAAATAACGTAAGGTCAGATACCATATCTCTCATGTAATGAAAATTATCGTTTGTAGCCAACACAAAGAAACAATAGCAATATATTCAAATCGTTTAGAAATATTCAACAAATTCTAATCACATAAATATATACTATATCACAAGTAAAATGTTCAGTAGGAAAGAAAAAAATACATTTCATACAGATTTTCTAATTCATTCTTATTTCTCATTTTAAAGTTCAATACAATATTCTACTAGGATCAGAATTAAGAATCTTGAATTAAGCTTAACCTTTAGAACATCGAGTTGAGTCTTACCTTGAGAACATCGAGTTGAGTCTTACCTTGAGAACATCGAGTTGAGTCTTACCTTGAGAACATCGAGTTGAGTCTTACCTTGAGAACATCGAGTTGAGTCTTACCTTGAGAACATCGAGTTGAGTCTTACCTTGAGAATCTTGAGTTGAGCCTTAGCCTTGCGTCGTCGGTAGTGAGACTGAATTAAGATGAAGCCATGAATGATCTTACGATAACGACGTCGTTGGAGCCAACCTCGAACATGACGTTGAATGACGATGGCTCTGTGTTCGTGCATCTGTTTCTGATACATTCTTCTTCCAAATAATCCTCGGATACAAGCCTAGTGACAGAAAGTGTTACCATGACAACATACCTAATGCAGGAAAGCAATTCAATGATTTTGATTAAAGATATGATGAAAATTATAATTCCGTCCTACCAGCAAACTATCTATAGCCTTTCCAACAAATTCACTACAACAACAACTTGTATCAGTGCCTGTGTTTACACAAGATATAAATAATATTAAATGATAAACATACTTACAAGGAAAGCTGGAGTCTCCAGATAGGATACATATTTTATCTACCTGTAATACGATAGTGGCTCACAAGGACTTGTATCGTTTTCTTTACCTATCTGTAAATTGGTGGCTACCATTTTCGTGGCTAGTGGCTATTGTTTTCATAGTCATTGTTTTTCTAAACCTATCTGTAAATCACTGGCTATCGTTTTCATGGCTGGTGACTATCATTTTCCTGGCTAGTGGCTATCATTTTCGTGGCTCTTGTTTTTCTTTACCTATTTGTGAATCAGTGGCTATCGTTTTTGTGGCTTATGTTATTTATACCCATCTGTAAATTAATGGCTATAGTTTTCGTGGCTATCATTTTCGTGCCTAGTGCCTTTCGTTTTTCTATACCTATCTGTAAATCAATGGCTGTTGTTTTTCTACATATTGTATGCAATCTAATAGCTTACCTGTATCTTGACCACAGCTTTTTTCTTGATCATAAATACTTTGCGAGCCTGGAAACCTTTAAATGTTTTCTGGATCTTTGTAGCGGCCTTCGTCTCACGGAGAAATTTAGCATGTCTATGTGAAAAAACGACAAGTTAAAAATTGTTTGAACATCACACAAAACATCATCAGAATCACAGGGAATAGGTGAGCCAACATATCAATTCTTTTGTGAAACATATTTGCAAAGAAATATTATATGAATGAGACTTGTTGCTTATTTCAGAGCTATATCATCATCACCACGTAGTTGTAATCATTTTTAGATGTTTTCGTATATGTACACATATCTTAAATACATATATTAAACACATATTTTACTTACTGATATATATCAGAATAATTACATGTAATTGAAGTCAGTATAATCAGCCTTATTTCACCCAGTCTACTAAACATCTTGAAACTTTTATGTTTGTGTTTTCTATCCATAGGTATGAGAGGGACCTGCTCCACTTACACAGAAAATCTTACATTTCATATCTTAATGTTTCCTAGAGATTTGCACCCCAGCAAAATAACCCATTACACAGTACCTAACAGGTAAAGGGAGGTAACTATGTTGAGTCTGATCGACATTACCTTCTTGCCAACACTCCCCGTCCATGTTTTTGTATCAGTTTTATAGACCGCATAATCTTCTTGTACCGTCGCCGTGCCAACCAGCCCTTGACATGTTTCTGAATCATGACACCACAAGCACGGAGTTTCTCCGATCGTAATTTCTCCAGATACGCCACTTGACCAGCACGGAAAAATATTTTCGTTTTACCAAATCGGTATTTATCTGGGTCCTGATTCAAAAAAGAAAATATCAGTTATATGATGACGACTATATTTCTGTTTTTTTTGCCCCCTTTTTTTCCGTAAATTTTGTTTTATGAAATTAGAATTAATCACATCAGATCTTTAAACATTCATAATACGTCTAATTAACTATTACCACACATCTAAACAGGCAAAATATAAGACACAATCATCAATTTTATAACAAAGATATAAATACAATGTCTAGATCTTATATACAGGCTTTAAAGTTCTGCTGCTGCTGCAAAACAGATTTTTTTCTTATCAACAGAAAAAAAAAGATGTTTGTATATCTACATATGTCCACAAATACAAAACCAATCACTGTAAATACAGGAGAAACAATTACCAAAAGTAATTTTTTTATGAATTATTTTGTATGCGGGATTGATGTGGCTGAAACTGTACAAGATGTGGTTATTATCGTAACAAATTTTAACTGGTGACATTAAATGACAATAAACTTTGAAAATGGGTTAGTAAGAACAAGAAAACATTTTTGTTGTCAACAACTGTTAGATAAAAAAAAACTTAATTATCTGAATACTGCATTTGAACGTCATGCTACCAATTCACAATTACACTGAAATCTTAATATTTTTCTGATGTATCTATAAACAAATAGCATCATTTTCGACAAATTTCTAAATGGTATAATACACTGAATGATTTTTTCAGTCCCAAAATGAGCATGCACTGATACCATAGGATTTTCAATATCATCCATGCAAAGTTGTTTCAATACACAGAATTTTTCTTTCAAAGAATATTGAAGTTTTAAAATTCTTTAAAAAGTCTCACAGCCTTTGTATTGTAAAACAGTATATTTACAGATTTGTTTTTGTTTTTTTTATAAAATTCATTAATTTGGAATGGAAATGACAGATAAATCATTTTCTAGATCGTGATTTTTCTTCTGTAATAATCCAGAACAATTAGGCTTTGAAGTAATGCCTGGGCTTATCAAAGACAAAGTTACCAGAATCTTGAAATACAGAAGAGAATCAGGAAAACTGTGAATTGTTATTGAGTGACAAAGAACTTTGAGGACTTTAATCATACAGAATACCTCCACTAACTTCTTTTTCTTGTGTATAAGCTTTGGAGAACGGCCCTGATAATGTATAGGATAAAGCATACAGATAATGGCCCTGATAATGTATAGGATAAAGTATACAGATAAAGGCCCAAAAATGTATAGGATAAAGTATACAGATAAGGGCCCTGACCATGTATAGGATAAAGTATACACATAAAAGGCCCTGACAATGTATATGATAAAGTATACAGAAAGGCCCTGACAATGTATAGGATAAAGTATACACATAAAGGCCCTAACAATGTATAATACAGTACATAACACTTAAAGAGATTCTAACCTTAAACAGAAAGCATAACAAATCCAAGTTCTAGCGATGTATATGAGTCATCAAGGCCATGACAAATGTATAGCAGAATGTTTCACACTTAAATCTAAACATTGGACAAAATATAGAACACATAATAAAGGCCCCAGCAGTGTATATTATAATATCTTTTGTAGTAAACATACCACGGCCCTGAAAATGTGTATGGTAAAACATGCTTAGATGGCCTTAAAAAGTATAGAATATTTCAGATATATTAAGATCCCTATGATTTATAGAATATACTGACTGTACTTATCAGGCCCCAAATAAAAGAATACCTAAATATTTCTGGTCCTAATTAATCTGCAAAATATTGCAAGTTAAGACACATACAACAAATGCTAAATATAGACAACGGAAAGATTTACATGGAGACCCCTAAAAATGTACAAGAATAATGCCAAGTGGTTCAGAAGAGTAAGCTTTATCAACAACACCCGTCATGTAAACATAGGTCAATCCAAGAAAGTAATGTCATATTCTCAAAAGGAGAACCAAGTCAATAACAAAGATACAATAGAGCATGAAAACAATCATCAAACATGTCCAACTTAATATCACCTTATATTTTATACAGACTAACCAAAAAGTATCTATTTCAAATATATACTTTTCAATTTCAATTTAATACACATGATATGACCAAAACTTAATTGACATTGAAATCAAAATTATAACCTTGACATTTCCATATCACAATCACCATGACCTATCAATATAACCTTTCAACTATGACCTCACCTGTATGATTTTGATAAGAATGTTTTCACATGTCTTTCTGGGGTTTGATCGGTTGATATCTTTAGACCTTGCCAGGACTCTGTACCTCTGGAAGAACTCACTGTAGGTCCACCTGGGTAACAGAAAAATACAATTATTATAGTGACCAGTTATGAGTAAAACAACATTCCAGAAAGAAAAGAGTTCCAAATTTAACATTTATATCATTGCATTCTCAACCATTTTAAATTAAAATTTTGTTTCTTGAAGAAATTATAATTTTTCTATTTTTTTCTCTCTCAAATCCATCAGAAAATTAAAATTCTATTTGTGTCTATAATGAACAGAAGTGTCTATTATCTAATATTCCAGAAAAAGGCTATCTACCCTGGTAAAACAGACTGAAAACATACTTCTTAACTGTACAAAAGGCTATCTACCCTGGTAAAACAGACTGAAAACATACTTCTTATCTGTACAAAAGGCTATCTACCCTGGTAAAACAGACTGAAAACATACTTCTTAACTGTACAAAAGGACTCCAGAATTGTATAAAAGAAACTGCATCAGCTGAGTTCTGGGTAATCAAGGTAAACACAAATGACCTTCTTAAAGGTTGTGACCTTTGACCTTACCTTGAGGGGTAGCCAGCAGCACTGATACGTATAGTTTCCAACACTCCACAGGCTCGTAGTTGTTCCACAGCTCTGTTGGGCTCAAACCTACACGAAATAACATGTCAAAATTAATCAAACTTGTAAAAAAAATTTTTGCCAATGTCCAATTTTTGACACAAGATTTTGAGGTAAATATTGGACTGAAACATTTTAATTTAGATGAGTTTACATTCCAGAGTTTAGGTCCTGCTCTTCAATGGTACAAATATGACATGGCTAAAAATAGACATTCAGCTTTTCACACTACATATGGTGAACTTCGGCCTCGGGAAATAAACCTATTATCTTATAGTCAGCAGTTTGAAGTGGAATATGGCAGAAAATGTAGTTATGAAATATGTTTCTTTTTTTCTTTTTTTTTTCAACATGCAGAGAAGACAAATATTTCTCTAAACAAAGTCACCTAAAATCTGATGGCATCTCCTGATTGGAAATAAAAGACTTCTATGAAAATTCCTGCATAACATGACTGTTCCCACATAATGTAATAGTGACCTTGACCTTCACACATCAGCAATGCTAAACTTGACTTTTACATGAAGAGAAATGATGACCTTCATATTCACACATAGTGTAACATGACCTTTATCTTCACAGAGTGGTGACCCAGACCTTCACAGAATGGTGACCTTGACCTTCACACATAACATTTCAAAATTCAATACAAGTAGCGTAAATTTGTGGGTATAGTGCACACTCGAGTATAATGCGCAGGTACTTTTTTGGGGTCAGATTCAAAACAAAAAAGAGGTTTTCTACAGAAAGATACTTTAATACCCAATCTTTGAATTAAATTTTGTCAAAATCTTTTAAGAATTTATGTAATAGAGAGATGTCATTTTACTGGTGAAAATTTCCATTGATAGTATAACCTTTGACCTCACCCTTGTGACACAAAAATATTAATTGTTCTATTTATTTTTCTTTTAACATTGACAATTATTCCATTAAATCTCTGAGTTTGAGTCCTTAATGAAATGAAGTTACAAATAAGAAAACAGCCTGGAACAAGATGTAAGTCAAGGTGACAAACATTGATAACAGAGAAAAGAAGACAGCACATAAATACATCCATATGCGAAATGATACCATCAGTTTGCTTTTATGATTGTGAAAAAAATGAAATTCTGAACTTGCTTTATGTATTAATTATTAATTGGCATCAACACTCACGTAAATGGTTCCTTAAAGTCGTTAGGTTTTATACAACGGATGTAATGTGGAGTGGTAGCGTTTAGTGTCTCCATCAACATCTTCAGAGAATCTCGGAACTGGAAACACAGAATATTTGTTACAAATATAAAAAGTTTACAAAATTCATGAAATCAAAACAATTATTTCCTAAACACCACAACAAACAATTTAAATAAGGGTTAAATCAGGGTTTCAATTGTATACAAATTGAAGTTGTATTAAAAAAATTCAAAATTATCTTAATTTTTGCCATAAATATTGATATCTCGTAAGACCATGGCAATATTTACACAATTTTCTTCACAAATTGTTTTTGACAACAAAATAAAAATAATGATTTTATTGTTTTGATAGCGATTCCTTCCATTATCGAACATGTCAAGTCACATGAGATTTCTCCAAGTCATGTGACATACCAAAATCATGTGATTTATCCAACAACATTTGACCAACCAAGACATTTCCTGATTTATCCCAAGTGAAATGAGACTTATCCAAGTCATGTGATATTTTCAACATCAGGTAACTTATCCAAGTCATGTGATTTATCCAAAGTCACATGATTTATCCAAAGTCATGTGATTATACTGCTTACTAATGAATTCATGATACAAGTTTGATGAATGATGCTAAATATTTTCTAAAAATTTTTAAACAATTATAATGCTTGAGAGACGTAACAAATTGATTTATATGGCCACAAGAGATTTTTACAATTAGGTTTTACTCTTATATATCATGAAGACCAATATCAAATTCTATCAAAAACAAATATAAAAATTAAAATCCATTATTCCAATAACTACAACTAAAATTTTGATAAAATACTACATAAATCTAGTCACCATCCTGCATGCTTTTTTTAAATATTTAATATTAGTAAAAGTCAACAAACACCATTAAAACTATGTTAGGTATTTCCTGCAATAGTATATATATATCAATATTTTTGCTAAAATCTACATGCCATATAATTCTAACTGTAAAAGACAAATTTGTAACAAAATTATTTAAAATACTTTTCTTCTGATATTGTGTTTAAAGTAACAGAAATATGTACTGAGCATATCAATCTTAACCTCCTAAAAATGTCTAAAAAGTTATTTCAAAGCAAACTGGAATTCTGGTTAAAAATGGATATTAAAAACACGGGAATGTTAAAAATTAGTATTTGGAACTTCAGGATTCCAGGATGGGGAATGTTTTAATTTCATGCAGAATATTAGTTGTAAAAAAAATTATTTCAATATTAAAAAATAAAATAAAATGTTTAAAAAGGAATGACATATTCTGAATGATGGTCCAGGTTTACTAACATAATATTATACACTTAAATCTGCATAAATACATAGATTAGTCCTGATTCACAATTTTTTTGTGTTAGTGATGCAAGCTTAACATTAGTAATGGCTGACACACTCACTACTTAGCAACCAATCAAATGTACTCTTACAAACACAGTTGGATTATGAATGAAGATGTAAAAGCACATTTGATTGGTCATCCTCACAAATAAGAGTTTTTATTGAGAAAACATAACCTAATACACATGTAGTTTCTTGTCAAATTAGCAAGTTAATAGTAACCATTTTTTCTATTTGAAAAAATATCGAAAAGCTGCCTTATCAATTTCAAAATATATTGTATCATGGTTTACTTTATATAAATAAATAAATAAATAAAAAATTAATCAAAATAAAAAAATTATTCTATATTACATTCAAATATTATTATTTTATTAAAATTTTATGGTTCTAATTGAAATATTATGTTAAGATAATTTTATTATTTCATTTGATTGAATAAAAACAAATGTTTTATACTTGTATTTCACAGTTCAGCAGCACACTTTCACACACAACTGCTTTTTTCAACAAAAATAAAACAAATATTTTTTTTTCTCTAACCGACACATCTGTTCACTGTTAACACTGACAGACTGACAGGCGCAGGCTTATCATGTAATCCAGCAGAAAGTCATTTTGAAGATTTTAAAGGGATATTCCACACAAGTTAGGATTTCTTAGCTGCTTTTAAAGTAAACTGTACATAATTATCTACTTATGTTCTGATGAGAAATGATACACCTAAATTTACCATTAAAATAAAGATGATATTTAAATTTGGGATATTCTTTATAGATCTCTTGGAATCAATTTACAAACGTTGCACAGCCGAAATTGCATCATAACAAGTTTAGCAGAACTGAATGGAATATTTAGGTAATTATAAAAACAACAGAAAAAAAGCCTAATGCCGTTATAAAATTGCAACCCCAGCTGAAATTTTAGTAAACAACAAACACACTTGTGTATTTACCCAATACTCTACTTAAAATCAATGATTCACTGATCCTTCGATTTCAGATTTCCCGTTGCACTATATTTAGACAGTCAAATTTATATTGACTGGAAATATTCTGTTTTGCCTGTCCAAACTGACCACAGGAGATATATATTTGTACGCTAACAATAGTTTAAAAAATCATCAGATTTAATCCTTAAAATGTACAAACAGAAATTTTGCAATTTGAGCGATATATCCCTTTAAAGCATTCAGGCAAAATATTAATTTTAATTTTACAGCGATGTAAACTTGCAAATGAAAGCATTTTATTTTAATCTGCATTCATGCAAATATGTTTATTATGTTAAACTTGATGAAGCAGAAACAGCAAGATTGGTGACTGAATGTGAAACTTTGTTTCAAATTTTCAAAAGTTAAGAAAAATATTATAGTCCTGGTTAAAGCTATGACTAAGAATTAAAATTAAAATTACAAAAATATTTCTTTCACACAAGACATGAAGCTAGAATGACTTTTTTCAGTACTGGCTAAAAAGAGCCAACTATTAAAGAGATTCAGCTGTAGCATATGTACAGAAAGATTCAGGTATACATAGATATATTATGACACAGTAGTGGGACAAAAACAAAACTATTACAATTATGTGTTTTACTAAAATACATCAGCTTAATATATCTCATATAAATCTGAATTGCTCAAAGATTTTACAATATCTTTTCACAGATGTTGTTAAATTTGAATTTAACTAAATAGGTCTACACAAGCAACCATATTTTAATTGTTTTATATTTCTTTTCTTTATTTAAAAGAAAAAAAATTTTTTTGGTAAATTGCATAAAGAATTTAAGAAATATTACTAAAATTTCAGGGCATTTTGATGAATTTCTTAACATTATTCTCAGACTGTAACATGGATTATTTTAGATGAATTTGCTTAATGGGAGTGGTGAGCACATTAAAGACTTATTCATGAGTTGAATTTTTTAATGGGTTTTTCATGAGGTCAAACATTTTAATGAATTTTTCATGAATTGAACTTTGAACAATCAAGATATAACTACAGCACACAATAAATGTCAGTAAAAAATTACAAGTTTTTGGCTACATGTGTTGGCATCAGTAAGAACAAAGAAGTAAGAAAGGTGAGAGCCCACAACCAGACATAACGGGTTACACGCTCTGTCGCACACATGTGCGATGGCACACGCTTTACCTGATCTCCAACTGTTGCCTTCTGTTGTTGCTATAGCAACAAGGAAAACATGTCAAAAATTTGGTTACAAAAGCTTTACACACAGGCAGGCAAATTATACAGCCATGTTCTCCTTCTGAGATGGAACTATCATTCTTTTTCTTTCTTGAATCAGTTTAACTAGAGATTTACTTTCCTAGAAGATATCACTTGAAATTCAGTCATGCAAATCCTATCCAATTTCATCTCCGTTAAATTGAATCTTGTATTGAAAATATTGCAAATGTTTGAAATCATTGTTTAACTGAAGTTTTAAGTCTTATACTTTACAAGTATCTATATTTCCTATTTATAAAATACCACTGATTAAGTCTAATACAACACTGTTAGTTGTAAATTATCTATCAAAGAAAAGAAAATTTTCACAAATTACAGTTGGTTTCTGTGTTTCTAAAAGTCAGAAATGTGAGTCATTTCTCTGCTCTATTGATTAATCATCTTCAGAATTTTTGTATCGATTAACTGAATTTAATTCCTTCATTGATTAATTTCAAAATTATTTTCAAATATCGTCCCAACACTAAATGAACCTAATCTTAATGTTTGTAAAAGAGCAACTGAATTGATCCAAGAAAATGCACAAAAAAAAAAAGCTATGAAGTCCCTCCACTGTAGTTGAATGTACTATTTCCCCAGCCTAAGTTGGTTTTGTTTGATAGCTTTATGTGACAGGATTAAGTAAAACTTTACAAAGAAAATTACATATTTTTGTGGTGCTTAAATTTTGTAGTTTTCCAAAAATATGTATTTTCACTGGTACTTGATTTTGTATTTAAATATTGCTCACAATATTTGCTAATACTGTAACAATATTAACATTTCCATTTAGTAATTTGTATTAGTTCATGGATTTAGAGTACCCACAATTTCAGAGAAGATAATCCCCCTTGAAAATTAATTGTTTTACAGTATATCTAATTCTGGTGAATAAAAATTTTGTTTTACTGAAGAGGAACATGGCTGTATTGTTATAGCATAAACTAGAAAGTTTAAAGTTAAATTACAGCATCACATCAAAAATTATAATTATACAATATTAACATCATCAAAATCATGAATAATGATAAATGGGAGTTACAACTAGAATGAGTAATGATGCATCTCAACAAGAAAAGATTTTTTGTAAAGATATAAATATTTCTAAAAATCGTATTTAGTAAAAATCTAAACTAAATTTTCTACAAGCTAGGAAGGAAGCATGATTAAAATATCTGTCCATCAATTTTTTGTTCTTTGATTGTTTTTTTTTAATTTCAGTGAATTAAAAATATATATGGTTGGATATCCCATCTTAACTCTTCCTGTACAGCAATATATAAACTTAAATTATCTCCCCTCAAATTACCTCCCCTTACACTATATGAGGCACAATATACTACCTGTGATCCCACAGTGTTTCGGTTTGATTTTCCTCCTGCCGATTTTGGAACTAATCTTGTGGGATGGGTTGTAGCAGATCCTGCACGAGGTTTTTTCAAATTTGGATCTTTAATATCAAAGAGCTCGGCCACCAGTTCAAACTGAAACAAACAACAAATTTTTATAACAATTTTAATTCATAACGTGGTGAAGTCGGTCTACTTTACAGAATGAGGCAGTTTCACCTGGGTGGCATGTCTTGTAAGAAATGAGATGCCTTTGGATAGGTTGGGCACCAACTGACATGAGGTCTATTGTTAATAGCTTGTCTTACAAATATCATACTTATGATCTCTATAAAAGTTACATGCTATCTTGCACATAACTACAATATCTGTTAAGAATATACACTTTGTTACATCATGACTTTTGATTGTATTAAGGCTGTATCCTACATAATGTTAGAATGTAAGAATATCATCTCTATACATTAGCGTGCAGTGTTCACTCTTGCCTTTTAAAACTGGAGATACAGTGTACCCCTAACAATGTATGTATATAGTTGATAGCTTGATGGCCGGGGGTACAAGTCTTGAATTTCACCACTTTCAGGGGTTTTGTACCCTCAATCGGGGTTTATGGGGAACACTGCACACTTAATAGCCTTTTGAAAGGTGAAAGCAGCTTGTTCAAGTCAATCATTAGTTTGATTTTTATTTTTTACGTTCACAAAAATATGTATGAAATTGACATTGTTATATAATCAAATTCATTCATCAAAGCTCCAACCGTTTTTTTACGTAGAACTCTTTTTGAGAAAGAAATACATACAACAAGAAGGGATCATACATCCTTAAGTATAATACATATACATACCTCACTGGCTTTGAGAATATTGATGTGTTCTTCTAATACTGTATCTCTGTTTTTCTCGAGGAATCCGTCCGCCAGGTACTGAACTTTGTCAGCAAAGTGGGCAATAATGAAAGCTTTGTTTGACATACGTGGCTTGTCAAAGTGTTTTGCCTTCCCTAAATGTTTACTGTACAGTTTCTGACACCAGTTGGCGTCCGAACCACGCGGCATCTGTCAGAAATAAACATAAATGGTGAAATAAGAGTGAGAATTTGAAACTAAGAAGCAAATTTATCATTTTCTTTTAGCATGAATATGTTTAATTGAAATAAGTCCTGGTGTGGTAATAAGCCCATTCAACGTATCCTTCAATAAGTCAAAGAAATCAACATTCCAATTCTGTCTCAAAGTTGAAGCAGGTTTATTACAAGACAATGACATACCATATTTTGTAATTCTACTGTATAAAAAATATAAAGAGGTGGGCTTATCAACAGACATGGGAATATTGACAGATGGATAAAATCAATCAAAATGATATTCAGAATTGTTTTTTTTATCTTATTCCTACAGAGTCTACAACATCTAACCCCTTATACCAATTCTCTTTCTAACCTTTGACCCCTGTGACCTCAGTTGAACCTACCTTACATTCCTCGTCTAACAGATCAAGAATTCCCAGTTTGCTTTCGATCAGATCAATACATGGCTGGTTGTCATAGAAGTCAATAAACGACCACTCGATGCCCTCACGTACGTATTCCTCCTGCTCCAGTTTAAACACATGCTGAAACAGAAAAGTTTTCATCAACATTTTTTTGCTATGTTTCAACCATAGATATACTATTATACTATTAAAAAAGAAAAAAAAAATTTGGTTTCCGGTTTTATACAATTCAACATTTCGGCTGTTAAAGGACAGGAATGAACATATACATGTAGTATACTTACACTGTTGAATATCTGTTGGAGTTTCTCATTGGCATAATTAATACAAAACTGCTCAAAGCTGTTGATTTCAAACGTCTCAAACCTGCCAATAAATATATGATAAATTGAGTAATCAAATAGCTTGTTATCTTTAAACAATTCAAAGAAACCATTCATAACATTTCCATTCTCAACATGAATACTTCTATTATAAAGTTATTTTAATATTTTTTAAATCTTTTAAAAATGACAGAGAACCAAGCTAAACCAAGAAAAAGGAAGGAATTTTAGACGTTCATTTTCTTTCATTTTTATTTCCTTAAATCAAATATTTGATCAAGCCCTTTTTACATATGGAAATTCTTCTTGGTTTTTTCTTAAACCTTTATTCATAATGCAATATTTTCTTTGTGATTTTCATTATCCTCAATAGCAGTAAAAAATAGAATCCCACGTACCTTATAAATAATGATATTAACATTTTAGCAATGTAAAGATGTTTCTATTGCAAATTTATTTATTTACACTGAATTTACACCACTGATAGTAAACACGGACTAAAAATGTTGATAGTACACTTTATGTTTTAAACTGACTTTACCCATAAATATCCAAAACACCAATAAACTTGTATTGTTTGGTGTTGCTTTGCAGTGTAATGTTAATCTTGTTGACAATCCAGGTGAACACCTCAGCGTAGATATGCTTGGCAAGAGCGTCCTGAGCAAAACTGGCCTGATTTTCAGGGAAATAGAAAATGAAATTGTATTTAAACATTAACAACAGAAGGGTTTCTATAACTTCATTCCTTCCTGTTATAATACATTAACACATCTTAGTAATAAGTTCTGTCACACGGAATTTATCATAAAACAGATGTTTCTGTTTATATCTTCAATTCGACAGGTCCTACATGTGAGTATGAAAGAAAAACAACTGTGAAAGTTATCATTGTACAATATTTGACCTTGACCTACCTGACTGGCATTGAGAGGTCTATCAAGCATCTTATTGACCTTTGAACTAGTGTAACATTTTACTTTGACCTTTCTGAATGGCAGTGAGAGGTTAAGTCAGCAACTCAACAACATTTGACCTTGTGTAACATTTGTCCTTGACCTACTTAACTGGTGGTGAGAGCTTTATTGAACATTTCAATGACCACTGACCTTTGTGTAACATTTGACCTTAAACTACCTGAATGGTAGTGAGTGGTTTATTGAACACTTCCATGACCTTTAACCTTGTAGAATATTTGACCTTGACCTACCTGATTGGCGGTGAGAGGTTTAGTGAGCACCTCGTTGACCGTTGTGATCTTTTTATGACACAGCCACATCCTCATCTGCGATTCCTCTATCCCCAGTAGTGAGCAGCACATGGTTAGTGACTTGTCCTTGGCCTGAACACAAACAACACAAACATTAACAAAACTGCTTGCTTCTCAGATAAAAAAACTCACTTTCAAGGTGTAGACAAAAGGGAGGTAACTTTACTATCAAACTAAAGAAATAAATCAAATTTCACCAACTGATGCAATGTCTGTCGGACAGAAAATATAGGTCACAATGATCCAATTTTTTTTTTTTTTTTAATTTTCGAATTTGTTTTCACATCCATTCTAATTCTGGTCTTGAGTAGATACTAAAAGGTGTCAAATTTTATTTTGATGATTTCTTTTTTCAGTTTTGTGTTACAAAGTTTAAGAAAGATTTTGATTAAAACCAAATTTGGTAAAATCAACGATGTCATCAGTGTATGTTTGCAGGCGTGAAGTGTACAGTTTTTTCAAATCTCATCTCTTGGAATATAAATCCTATACATATATCTTAGAATAAATACACACTTTTATATGCTCTACCTGTCATAAAAAAATAGTAGTTTTTTTCAATATTTTTTGAAATCTCAGATAAATGAGTTAATTGGAAACCTGTCAAAGAAAAGAGAACATTTTTCTTATTGTGTCTCAACAACAAATTTTAAGATATTTTTGAAGAAAGAAAAGACACCTGCTCTTACTTTACTGGAACAACTGGTCTTATTCTCCTTGTACTTTTTCAGGAGTCTCTGTGTAAATCTTTCTTTTCTTTATATTTTGTCCTAATTTCAATGAATTTGAGTTCGGATTATGATTGCGTTGACTTCTTCAATTAGCAGGATGAGATATATTGTTTTCTAAAAGTTAGAACATACCGGAATTTCACAAGACTCTCCTTCTGCTTCACTTATTTTAACATTTCCAAAATGGAGAATTCCGGAGAGTATCTGAAAAATCATCATTTGATGTCTCTCACCAACACCTGTAAAACAAACAATATCATATCAGTATGCCATTATGTTTACTTGTTTGCTGCATTTATAGCCCATGAATAGACAGGGTCATTTGAGGGGAAGTCTTTTTTTTTAACAGACGGTGACTTCTTCAATGAATATCATATGGGAGGCCCACAACACCCTTGGATCTCTACACAATTAGGTTAGATTGTGTGATGCTGCACTGACTAAGCTATTGCAGTGCGGAAGCACATTGCAAACCTTCACAATACAGTATCATGGGGAACTTCTACCGATTAAGTGAAATTAAAATGGCAGTTAAAACTGAGAAATGGGTTATCCTTTAAATCAAATTCAACAGTAGGCAAAAATATCTTGATTGGATCACTGTTGGTGAATGTTTCCTCTTACAGGAAGCCTGTCGAATACAATATCTCTAATCACTCAGTCCAACATTTGCGAAATAATAAAGCTGACCAATTCCATTTGTCAAAAATCTCTATAAGATTATTTTGCATCACCACTATACAGTAGTCTGTAATATGTGCAGGTCTGTTCATAAACGTATTATTTTGGATTTTTTTGTTGATTTATCACCAAATCAGGCAGGTTCGTTCCAATGCCGGGTCTCCTTGTAGTAGGTGTTGGCTACCTTACTGAACAACATACAGGAGGGTTGTCACATGTCATCCAGGGCAGTTACAATTCAAATGTCTCGAACAAAAACACAATGATGTCAGCAAAGTCTAGTCAGTTTCTCAGCTTTCTGAGAAACACAAACTACAACGGGCAGGGAGCATCGTATCGCCCACTTCAGACCTTCTCCTGGGACTACACAGGTCAACACTCTTACAATTCTATCGTGACCTCTCACCCAACAAACCCATCATGAAGTTTCAGTAGGATTACTATTAATGTTCTATACTAAGCCTGACGCCTGATATTCATTCACATGTTAACCCCTAAACTTACACTGACCCATAGAGCAAAACTCAACACAGTCGAAAATAAATAGCAAAGACATAATTCAAAAACTTTGATATATGCTACAGACAGTTTTTAACATATGTTCACAGTAGTTAAAGGGTTACGAACCTAGTAAAGTCAGGGCATCCATTGTATGTGTCAGGTTTTCTGCGTCATCTACTCCTTGTATCTCCGGCGCCTGACCACAGCTTGTGTAGAAAAAGTCATCAGGATTTTCTATAAAAACAATAAATATTACATTAAAACCAATTAAAATTCATTTCATTTTACAACAGTAATAAAGTTTCTGTTGATATATTAAACAATCTGTATCAGTTTGATATTTTTATCAAAACTCCCAATTTGAAAGAAAGTACCATTGCGTGAAATCATGTATTTTTGTGGGGTTTAATTTTTGTGGTTTTTGTTGACACTTAATTTTGTGGATGAATAGAACTAAACAAATCCACTTATACTCATTTCAACAGTTTGTGGAGATATGAATTCCTGGATTAAGAAAAAATTTATGCAAATAAATAATTTTACTGTAACTAACAGTGGAGTGTCAACAATTACTTCTGTTTAGACTTCTGGTGCTCCTACTGAAGTTGGGGGGGTTTCATCCATATATAAGACGTACATTTGACTCACAAGGAAAAGGTGTGGCTTATAATCCGGAATATACGGTAATTACGTAAAATACATATACACTAATAACGTACACCTCCCTTACTTCCTCTTTTCTTTCCCAAATCATTATTTGTTATACACATCAGTACAATCCATCAAGGTTTGAGTACTAATGACAGTAGGATAGTTCATATTATGTGTGAGGTATATCCCAATTTTACATGCTTTATAGCTTGTGCTATTTCCCTGGGCTAATATTTCACTGTAGTCATAGTTTGGGCTAACCAATGTATATTATACTTCCTGTCAACTGGTATCCATGTATACAGACATAGATTTTCTGTGATTTTGATTCAATGCAAAAAGTACTTGTTAGTTACTGTAAAATTGTAAATTTTTGTGGGAGGATTTATCTTCCTTTTATCCATGGGTTCATGAAATCCATGAATTTATATGTCAATGAAATAATAAACAAATAAAAGTTAATGAGTTATAGCACTAGTGAACATTGTGATCTGAATTTATCCTCAAAAACAAACATCAATGTAAATGTGTATTTTTTGGGAAAACCACAAAAATTTGAGTCCCCCAAAAATGTAAGATTTGACAGTATTCTATCTCAACTCAAATTTATTCCACAGCAAACACCACTATCTATTACTTATCAATAACAGTAGTATAAACAATGACTTTTCTTCCTATCTCGGCTATTGGAAAAAAAATTTAAGAAATGGATCCCATTTGTGCTGTAAAAGTTAACCACAGTTTATTACAGCAGTGATCAAAGTTCCATCAGTATCATAATAAAGACATACTTAGCTGGAACTTCTTGAACTCTGGGCGGTCAGCAACAGCACATAATTGATAGAACACATGGTAGTTTCTTTCTTCGGCAGCTTGGAAAACAACTCTGTAAGATTCAGATCACATCGTTATATCAGTAAAGCACTCAAATTAGAAATGTTTTCTCTACACTTTGGGTTATATAACATTTTGAGATGAAAATTTTCCCCGTTTTCTCACTTACAGAAATGACAAGATAGTTTGTATTATGAATAAGAACAATAAGATATCTGATCTAAGATTTTTTGTTTAAAACATGTCAACTCACTGCACCAAATTAGACTCTGTGGCCTCTAAATGTACCGATTCTTTGACTAAAATCCTTTATGCTTGACCTTTGACATCTGACACTTTGTCTCTTATCTAATATCAATGACCTCTGACCCCTACCATCACTGACCCTATAATCTTAAATCAGTGTTATATGACCTTAATTAACACCCAGCTTTTGACCAATCATACATTTCGTCTATCAACCTCTCAACTTTAAATTTGACCTTGACCTGACCTTGACTTCTCTAGTAGATAGGTCCTCATATGGGCACCAACAATTTCATGTTGTTTATTGAAGGAGATCTCAAGGTACTTCCCAAACCGACTGCTGTTGTCGTTTCGTGTTGTCTTAGCGTTGCCAATTGCCTGTGGAAAAAAAAAATATTTCATTAACTCAAATTAGACCACAAACAGTTATAAGTATTTTACCAAAATGAAAATGCAGACATTTTGAAAGAAATATCATTCAAATCAAAATAGGTAATCTATGTGTTAGTATTATATAATAAGTACATAGATAAAAGTCTGCCCACTACAGTGTGTTTAGATAGATATTACGGATCGTGGTGCATATCATATATATTTTATAACCTATATTTTTTCTTCAAAATTCAAGAGTTCACACTTTAATATGCTCATTATCCCATTTGCTCTGATGTTAGTAAGTCTAGAGACTGTTAGGGGGTCATGTATACCTTTGACCTCTTTGATAAAAGATAAAAGGAACAATAAAATTAAGTAAATCACAGTCACTCACAAACATACCACCTAACTATGAGGAATCCATACCATATAATGTTCCAGTGACATGTAGTGTAGAGCACAGAGCCTAGACAATCCTTTTAGCTGATGTAAATCAAAGGTCAAAATATAGATCAGAGTGACCTACTTTTGGTACATGACACACTGCCTCACCAAGGTGAGTCTCTACCCCAAGTATAAAGTTACAAGTGGTGTATGAGATAGAACTTTTTCTTTGATGTAGGTCAAAGGTCAAAATATAGGTCAGAGTAACCTAATTTTGATATATGACATGCTGTTTAGCCAAGATGAACCCATACCCCAAGTATGATATTCTAGTGACAAGAAGTATAGGATATAAACAAGTTTGCAGAGGAATGGACGAATGGACGGAAGGACAGACGGACACAATGCGAAACTATAGTCCCCTGGTCCCTGGCTGAGGATAACATGGTATAACTCCATTGCAATCCTCCGCAATAAAATGTTGTATTTTGACATATACCATGGATGGACAGAACGTATGTTTCCTACTCCATGTTTCTCGTACCTTTTACTTGTCTTTTTTCTTTTCAATCATTTATTATGAGAGAAATCCTCACATTCTGAAGATATATGATCTACCACAGGGGCTGATCCACTTACCTCCATGATCGGGTTGGAGGCTAAAACCTTCTGTTCCACCATTGTCTCAGCCTGTGAACCTCCCACAGTAGCAAAGTACCTCATGGCATACTTAGCAGATACTGTTTTTCCGGCACCTGACTCTCCCGAAACGATGATCGATTCGTTCCTGTCAAACCTGGCAAAATAAATAAATAAATCCACGTAAATAAACATCAATAAATAATATAACTTTTGAACCACTGAGTCTTTTTCTTTTACATGTTGACCTCTGACCCTGAACTCTGACCCTGATTATATTGATGTACTGACTTTGACTTTTGTATGTTAACACCTAGCCCAAAATGTCTTTTACACCTTGATAACACATATTACAGTTTAAGCAAATAAACATTTGACATGTTAAATACAAAGTCCACCCCGAGACCTCCATTTTATACCCAGATTTATCTCAATCATGTCTCCTTATTTGAATGCTGATCTTGATCTAAAACCATATAAACAAACTTTAAGATATAATTGACCTCCATGAAATTTCATTTCTACTCTCATGAGATGTTTTGACCTTAAAACACCATCACCTTGACCTTCATCTTGAATTAGTGTCCTTGATCTTGAATTCTTAACCTTAATATTGCAATAATTAACCTTATAACCTTTGACCTCTGCACTGACCTTGACATGTGTTTGAAGGCTTCCTCGGCAACGGCGAAGATGTGTGGGTCCATGGCGCCCATATCCTGTCCACTGTAAGCCTGTATGATGTCATTACTGTAGATGTTTACCTCTTCGTATGGATTAATGGCCACCAGTACAATACCTGGCCAACGATACAAAAATCATATTTACAGAATTTTTGTAAAATCTCTGGAAATCTCCAAGATCACATTTCGATATACCTGAGATACGTACACGAAAAACGTGATAATCTGGACATAAATGGTCCAGAAGCTTGTAATCTGGATCAGGAATAAGTTTGTCTGAATTATCAAGGCACTACGCCAGTGTTCCCACTTGCCATTTGAAACAGGGAGTACAATCTACCCCTAACAATGTATTTACATCTAAGACTCCTTGGCAACCGGAGGTACAAGTCTTGAATTTCATCTATTTGGGGGCGGTTTTGTACCCTCCGTTCAGGGGTGGAACAATGCACCCGATATCAACAAGTCTTATTAGAAATATCTTGATTTTTCCATTAAAGTTTTAATGCTGGAAACGGAAACCAAATCAGAAATATATTTTATATTTCTCTGCTGCTGTTCTCATTACTATATATATACCAGGTCGATTGCCAATGTAATTTATAGAATATAATTACAACAGGTCCCATTATATAATGACAGAGCTTTTACTGGCTATTCTATTTTTTCCGCTATTCCATTAATTGGATTTACATTTTTCACTAAATATAACCAGGTACCTCAGTAATAATGCCTAAAATGTTGCTGGTAATGTGGATATAAAGGTTTTTTCAGAATGTGATTACGGTCGATATAATTGCCATGAGAAGCAGGTTTTATGGAATTTGCTAGAAGGTTATTTGAAATTAATTCAACTATAATTACATTCAGAATATCACTTAATTGTTCAAATACTTTTATCGATGACAGACTTACCACAGTAGGTATAAATGATGTTCCTTTCAGCAAATCTGACGTGCAGGTTATACAGAACTGAAAAGCAAAATTGAAGTCTTTTTAGGTCAAAGGCCCAAGTGGACAAAATAATTGAATATTCATAATTTTTTCTGTCTTACAAAATAGACAAAAATAAAGATAAATCCAAAGAAAGATGAGATTTGAGTCAGGTGAGTTTTTTAAAATCTTCTGATTAATTAAGATAAATGAGTCAGGTGAGTTCTTTTTTAAATCTTCTGATACATTAAGAGAATTGAGTCAGGTGAGTTTTTTTTTAAATCTTCTGATACATTAAGAGAAATGAGTCAGGTGAGTTTTTTTTTAAATCTTCTGATACATTAAGAGAATTGAGTCAGGTGAGTTTTTTTTTTAACCTTCTGATTCATTCAGAGAATTGAGTCAGGTGAGTTTTTTTTTAAATCTTCTGATACATTAAGAGAATTGAGTCAGGTGAGTTTTTTTAAACCTTCTGATTCATTCAGAGAATTGAGTCAGGTGAGTTTACCTTCTGGTTCGTTAAGATAACTGAGAGAGGTAAGGTCATTTTCTCCTATCAGGATGTCCGGGTTTCGGAGATGAGGAAGCTTGCTTTTATCACTGACTGCTACTTCCGATTCCTAAATAACAAAAGAACACTAGAATTAATTTCATTTACCTAACACGTTTTTGTCTACTGTATACAGACAACAGGATTAACTCATTAGTAGCATTAATTAGACAAAAGAACCTTAATGATAAATAATAAGGATGCATCTGTCAATAATTGAGCAAAATGTTTTATTTAAGACATGTACAGGTCACTGAAATATACATAAGAAAGTATTTTTTGCTAAACTCTCTGTGGTAATATTTTTCTCAAGTCTTGATAATCTTCTAAACTCAAAATTTTAAATAAAATTTGTAAAAAAAAAAAAATGAGACAGATGAATTGCTTAATATACTGTAAAACAATATATTTTTGTGAGACCCAAATTTTGTGGTTTTCAAAAGAATATCACTCCATGAGCATTTGATTTTGTAGATAGATAAGTAGAATTCAGAAATCTGGTATTAATGATTTTAAACGGAAACTTAAGTGTGAACATACAAATTCATGATTATCAATATAAAAAAAAAAAAATAAGAACACCACAAAAATGAATAATTCTACAGTATTTGTAATCTGATTTATAATCTATATTTTAACAGTTTTATACATATCACTTTTGCCCTAAAACCACATTTTTGTAAATGTTTATCAACCTATATCGCTCCTTTTCTTTCTTGAGAATTTACGGTGATTGCAGATCGTGGTGGTGATTGCAGATCGTGGTGTAAAACCAGTTTTACAGTTGTCAGTTTACAGAGGACAGTAACCCACATAGCAGGGGCCAGTATAATCATCACTGACAGATCTGTTAGTTTCCTGCTCTCAGGACAAAACACATCATGTGTACTCTGACATAGCTCACAACATCTATATCACTCATTCTACATAAACTGACTCGCTTCAAACACACACAATGTGGAGCTAGTTCAACATAAAAAGAAATAAGGCCATACCAATAAATAAGGTCACATCAATTAAAAAGGTCACATCAATAAATAAGGCCACATCAATTAATAAGGCCACATCAATTAAAAAGGCCACATCAATTAATAAGGTCACACTAGTAAATAAGGCCATACCAATAAATAAGGTCACATCAATTAAAAAGGTCACATCAATTAAAAAGGTCACATCAATTAATAAGGCCACACTAGTAAATAAGGCCATACCAATAAATAAGGTCACATCAATTAAAAAGGCCACATCAATTAAAAAGGCCACATCAATTAAAAAGGTCACATCAATTAAAAAGGCCACATCAATTAAAAAGGTCACATCAATTAAAAAGGTCACATCAATAAATAAGGCCACATCAATTAAAAAGGTCACATCAATTAAAAAGGTCACATCAATTAAAAAGGTCACATCGATAAATAAGGCCACATTAATTAAAAAGGCCACATCAATTAAAAAGGTCACATTAATTAAAAAGGTCACATCAAGGTCACATCAATTAAAAAGGTCACATCAATTAAAAAGTCCACACTAATAAATAAGGCCATACCAATAAATAAGGCAATCATGAAGAGATAAGGTTAAACCAAGAGATAAGGCCACATATATATTTTTCATTGAGTCCAGTATTTGATCAAGAGATGATGTGTTAAATTGCCATATAGGACTAATGTAGACTTTAATTATTGAATACCGAAAAAGACTCTCTTACATCAATGATGAAACAAGCTGATAACACCAAAAGTACACATTTTAGGCATCTTACAAAGGGAGAAAACTCTGGAATATCTCTCCTGGAGAAATCCAACATGTTCAGGTCATAGGTGACCCCATTTTTATTTTGCTTTATTTATTTATCTGTTTTTTATATCTGATCAGAGAATCGGACTCTAGCTGCCTATATCAAAACATGTTACCGAGGAGCCACCTATCATACCTGTAGTAACATCAATCACAGAATTCCACAAAAAAAATACATGAATAAAGAAATCCAAACAAAACTCAATTACGGAGCTGTGCAATTAATTTTTCTCCAATTGGCGATTTTTTTTTTTTTTTTAAATTTGTTCCCATTCCAGTGAAAGCTTGTTTCCATTCCAGTGAAAGCTGACAGAAAAGGTTTTAAACTAATGCATTTTTTCCATTTCATTTACATTACTGATTGAACAGACCAAATTATATCTTACAATTTCTGTTCCATATCATCAAAGAATGAAAAACTAAATTATTGAACAGGTATAACATTCTTCCCTACCACCACTAGGAAAATGTCAAATTGTCTTTTGAATGAGAATGAGTGAACATTTCTATACAAGGTTTCCACATGGTTACAATAATTTCCAGACAGGAACTTCTCTGATTTTCACTCCTTGTCACAAACAACACCTCTTTTGTTTACAGTGATGTAAACAAGAGCTGAAACATCAGGAAATTGTCACAGGCTGCTGGTGTTCTCGCCCCAGTAAAATGTCAGGGATATACAGCTTAACACCTCTAGTGAATATTAAACAGTGAATTCAGGCTGTAATAATGAAATACTATATATAATTACTGACAAGTCTGGAATAACAACAAACATAATTGTCATTCATGATGTTTATATCTTTCACTTAATTTAATTTACAGCTAAACATGTTAAGGGACTGTTCTTTACAATGTACACAATAGCAATACATAGTTTTTAATAATTTCTTTTTGATTTGAATGAGACATTGATAGATACACCAATGTAATACTGATCCTTTCGATGATGAAAATAAGAAAAAATATTCCTCCACTGTTTTACAGAAAATCAGTGCTTCTTTTGCAATTTAAAAATATTAATATTTGATTATTTTTAAAACAAATCAAAATAGTAGGAAGAGCACAACAGCTGAGGCCAGGTTCTTAGGGGTTTTCCCCACTTATTTATTTTTAAAAAAGTAAGAAAATTTAAATAATTTCAAATTAGCAGGCATAAAGATAGATAGAAATTTCAATGATTATTTCTTTTTGTTTGAAATGATTAAGATCTAAAAATAACATTAATATTGTCTTATAATAGCCTGAAAAAGTTAAAGACGTTAATTTCTACACATAATTGTAATTGCCAGCTGTCATCCTAGTATTTGCATTAGTCGGAAACACATACAAGTGATGTCCTCAGTCAATGAATTACCCACAATCATATCTTATACAGTGATAATGTGTATTATCTAGGTGATTCAGAAATAGATACAACATTCCTTTTACCTGTAGATCATTTACCTGTGTATATAGATATTGCTACCTATTAGCGAGCAATTTACCTGCCGTCCGACTGTCACAAGTTAATGCTTGCTGATATAACTCAATCATCTACTGACCACAGTACTTTACAATGCTACTTGACCAGTAGTGACCATTACAGACAGAATTGTTAAGGTCTACATCAGCTCAGTAAGTAAAGCATCAATTCGGACAGTTCAAACTTAGGTGTCTGAGGCGTGTGATTCCATCTCTACCTCAGACAAATCTTTGTTTCTCAGAAAATGATATCACATGTCATTTCCATTCTGTAGATTTGTTCTTTGGTAAAATGCTTTACCTCAATAGTTTTGAACAGAATGTGATGGGCCTCCCATATGTTGTTCAGTGAAGTAGCCACCAGCTACTATAAACTTACCGTTAATTAACTGATGGGCAAATAACCCAGCAAACAAACATGACGGCAACATTCTATGTAGTTATACTATAAAGTTGAATTTGACTGCTGCTGACAAGGAAGTCGTCAGTTTACAGTACTAATGTATCATTACCAGCAGATAGGTATTACTTATATATTGTACAACAAGTCCACAGAATCAACACATAACCTCTGATTCAAAGTTAGGAGGTGGGCTTATTACAGGACAACATATCAGTGTTTGTTGGTAAATGTTTTTTATAGCCTTAATTTTTTCTGAGTTACTATTTTTTTGACAGTGAATCAAGATTATGGCAAAGACATTTTTTTACATCATATCAAATTGTCAGATTACACTTTGTATGTGTTTCATATCATGATTTCAACAAGGAAAACAGGGCCAGTTTTTAGCATAGGAATCATGCTACTGCACAAATTATTGTATCACAAGCCCATGAGTCGGTATTTTCTTCTGCGCAACTGTTTAATGGCTTGTAAATTGAAAACACGTTTAATTCAATACACTGCATAATCGCATAATAAAATCTTTTAATGTGAAATGAATTTGAATATATCCAAGCCTTTACCTAGATGTGATTTGTAATGTGACAATGCGTGTCTTGTTATCAGAATCACACGATTATAAAACTTATACTTCGACACCCTATGATAAACCACCGAGTGTTAACATTATATATACTATCTTACATTTTGTTTCTGAGATGTCTTTGAATTTTTCATTTTAGCGAGCTTCCAACTTCACAAGTGTTCCACAATAAGCCCATCCTTGATTTTCAGTAAGAAAACTTCATTACATTTTCACCAGTGAAATAGAGAGAAATATTTCCTTGATAAAAGTGTTATTTTTCACTGGTGTAATAAATAGAATATGTAATAGTGTCTACAATAATAACAAATATATTTCACATCTAATATTTTTTGTATCTTTCATTGGTACTGTACACTCGTGAAGGATACTAAAATATTAGACATATTTGTGAAATATCTTTGTTATTACTGAAGACACTATTAGATACTGTCTATATCTGACCTATGATGGGCTTTTGTGCCATAAATACGGTATATCAGGGACATCTCCGGGAGTTCAAGATCTAAGAGAAAGGGGTTACTACAATAATTTCTAATCAATGTCGAGCTGTGTACTGTCAGATATGTAAAATGTAAATGGAAAAATGGTGGGGTATATTTCAGTTTTAAGGGCTCTAGGACCCCTTCAAGGAATCATTATAATTGTCAATGTCCTCAAGATTGTACAATGATCATGAGCTTACATATAAATCACCTTCATGAACTTAAGTTAATAATACACAACACCATTAACAAAACTGCGTACACTGACTCATTGTTCTGCACGAATAACACAGTTTAGTCAGTATTGAAAAGATTAGCATTCCTCATTCAACAACTTT